TTGTTATGAAAAGAGCAGGCCTGATCCCTGAATTACTCTCTAGCTACCTGTCTCACTGTGTGCTCACTCCTTCTCTCAGTGCCCCTGCTGTGATGTCATCCATCATGAGTGACATGGCACAGCCAGGGAAGCCCTAGCAAGAGGTGGTGCCATGCTGTTTGAACTTTCAGCCTCCAAAACTGTGAGCTATGTAAACTCTTTTCTTTATAAAGTATGCAGAGATGGGTATTTTGTTATAGCAACAGAGACAGGAATAGTTCATAAGGTCCCTAAAGTAGTCAAAATCATCAAGGTGAAGAATAGTGTAGTGGTTTCCAGAGGCTGGGGAAATGGGAAATGGGAGTTGCTAATCACAAAATTTCAGTGATGCAAGATGAATAAATTCTAGGTATCTGCTGTACAACACTGTGCCTTCAGATAACAATACCCTATTTATACCTAAAAATCTATTAAGAGGGCAGAGCACCTGTTAACTGTTCTCACCACAATGAATTCTTTTAAAATAAAAAAATAATAAGGAACTTGCTAAGCCAGGTATGGTGATGCACACCTATAATCCCAACATTTGGGAGGCTGAGGTAGGAGGATCATAAGTTTGAGGCTAGCTTGGGCCATATAGTAAGACTTTGTCTCAAAAATAAATTTTGAAAAAGCTTGCTAAGCAAACAGGAGCTGTAAACAGCAGGGCAGGGAGACACATAATTTTAACTGACCAATAAAACCCTTCAATCACTTTGAAAACCATCTTGGCAGAAATGATTTGTTCTTAAGTAATAAAAGGGCTCATTGCAAATTCTCCTTCTTCATGCCTCCAAGAAGGACCTCTGAATGGCACATATTATTTATGGCAAAATTGAAATCATAAAGATCTCCTGGGCTCCCATTGCATAGCAGGTGCTAAGTTATGGGCTGAGAATACAAAGGTACAGGCATAGAATAGCGCCTGCCCTGAAGTGAAGTGGGGTAGTTAGGGGCAGGGCCAGAGATTCCAGTGTTGACTCTGCCACTTGATGGGTGCATGGCCCTCAGCAGGTTGTGTGACCTCTTTGTTTCCTTTGGAAAATGGGGATAATAATCTGCAGGGTGATGTGCAAATTAAAAGAGAAAAAAATGCCCAAAGTGATTTGCACCGTGCCTTCCACGTAGTGAGATGCGCTAATATTGTTACTCAATACAACACCAGGCAGCGTGGAAAAATGCAGCTAGGATGGAAGACACTGTCTGGTTCCTCAGGAGGGTGCTAGGCTTGGAGTCTGGACTAGGGAGTGTCACAGAAGTGGTGACTTTGACGGGGCCCATGAGGAAAGGTCCGGGCCAGGAAGACAGACACAGAGATGACTCTAAGGTTTCAAGTATGAGTAACTGAGAGCACAGTTAAGTTAACTTGGTAAAAATGTTACAAGATCACTCCCATCGGTGGGGAAAGAAGTACCCAGGGGACTTGTCTTGGGACAGGGGGTCTCTGAGACTTGGTGCCCTCCAGACTGACAAGCCTGGAGGCTGAGCATCTGTTCTGGGCCCAAGGATGAGGTGACCTTTGTGATTAGGACACTGAGATGGGCCAGTTGTGAGGACTTTCTATCTTCCCTTAGGTTTGTTCTAAATGAGACACTTCACACACAGATGGCTAGTGGGTCTGTGTTTGACTCAGGGCAAGGAAGAAAAGGGGAGCAGAGGTTGTGGGTGTGGGGAGAGTGCACAAGCAACAGCCGGAGCAGTAGAAGAGTTGAGTTTGGGGCTGGGGCTGCTGCCTGGCTGCACTGATGCAGGAAAGGTGGGTCTGGGCCCCTGTGCGTATGTGGACTGGGCAAGGGGCACTTGGGGTATGGTTCCTCCACCTTGTTAGAGGAGCTCCAGGCAAGGTGGTCCTAGTGGGCAGCTGGAAAGGTGGGACTAGGGGTAGTTCTGGGAGTTAGGTAAGCAGGCTGGGTGTTACAGATTTGGGGTCAGCCATCTGCATAGCCCCAGGGGAAAAGCCTAAACCTTCCCAGCATTTGGTAGGCAGCAGCAATGCTTTTGACTTTACACACCTCCATAAGCTGCTTCAACCTGCTTTGGGACCAATGGTCAGGCCTGGATATGAGTGTGTGTGTGTGTGTGTGTGTGTGTGTGTGTATCTGGTAAGGCAAGTGGCTATAGGAATTCAGATGTCTGCATGGGGCCTAGAAAGGGCTCAGGTTCCCCCAAGGGACTGAGAAGATTCCCTAGGGCACCTCTTTACGTCCTCACCTTTTCTTAAAACCCCATTTTGGGGAAGCTGAGTTCTCTTTTGGAAAGTGCCTCGGATGGGGAGTTCAGGAGCTCCAGACCAACCCTGGCGTGGACTGGCTGTATGTGCTTGGGCAGGGTGCTCAGCTCATGTCTCCTGTACGATTAGCAGGTGCTCAGTCCTGAAGCCCATCAGCCTGGAGGATGTGCGGTTCTCTGAGTCAAGTGGCAGGACCCTGAAAGAGTTCTCTGAGCCTTTCCTTCCCTACTCGCCCCCCCCCCCTTTCTCTGGCACACTCAGCTTCCTCTCTGTGCTATGTCATCCTCCCTAAACTCTGGCCCAGAAGGAGCCATGAGCCCTCTTTGCAGATGAGGAAAGCTCAGAGCAGGTGAACTTTCCCCCAAGATAGCACAGCTAAAAACTGGCAGTTAGGATTTGAATCCAGGCAAGGTCCTGGCCCTAGGGATGCTGCCCTAGCCTGGGCACTGTTTTTTTTTCTTTTACAAAATGGTGAAACGCATAGATGATTTATTTATTCTTTAAGTTTACACAAGCATGGTATGGGTCCCTGTTTGTCAAACTGTTCCAAAAAGCTTAAAGTGCCAAACAAAGGTGCATTAGGAAGGGCTCTCTGTTTCAGGTCCATGCAGACCTCCTAGCACCTTTCAGATCTCACACCAGAAAGTTTGCACCACCTCAGGCAGTGTGAAGTGTCTCAGCCCAGTATAGCCCACTTCCTGCCGGGGGAAGCAGGTGACAGCAACACTAGGAGTGGTCTAGATCATGCAGAGGGAATAAACTGGGGCAATTCAGGTCACTGTGCTTGAACAGTGGTGCTCCCTGTTTTGAGGTGACTTATCTGGGGCACAGGCTAACACAAGCAAGGATGGGACAATCCCTATGGCTATCTGGACAGCTCCTTACCTCCAAAAAAGCTACCTGCCCTCTTGGTGCTGCTGTTGAGATGTGGCTTTGAGAGGGAATACAGGAGGGAGAGGCTGGGGGCTGAATCTGTGAAACCAGTCTGAATTCAGGCATGTTTGTGAGGAAAACAGGGTTTGCCCACACGGAATGGCAAACAAAATCTTGGGGTTTTCAAAGCATGCCAGAGGGACTTGCGTGCTCTGCTTTAGGCTGGAATGGGCACACTACTGTCCTATAAATGGGTGCTCAAAAACACTTGTGAGTGTATCCCTGGTTAACTTAAATTGATCTACTATCTCCTTCTGGTCAAAATCAAACATGTCTTAGGGCTGGGGATTTAGCTCAGTGGCACCGCGCCTGCCTTGCAATTACAAGGTCCTGAGTTCGATCCCTGGTATTGGAAAAAGAATTTCAGTGCTTCACACTCAAACCCATCCCTTGACCCTACTCCTCCCCTTCAGCCAACGAGCTCCCTGTCTCTGCTGACTTTCACAGAAGCCCTCACGAAGGGCTTGCCCATGCTCCTGTCCTCTCCTCTACTGACACCCAGGTGTCACTTCCTTATTGCCAAACCCAACACACTTCTGCCTCCCAGTCCTTTGGCTCTCCAGATGCTGTCCCTCCCTATGTCCTGGTGGCCACAGAAGGCTGCTAGGACAGGACGGGACAGCACAGGTAGAGTGCCAGGCTGCCACCAGCTCCTATAGAACTGCTGTGATGGTCCTCACTGGCTCTTCTGAAGTCTTCTTGACAGCTCAGGCTTCTGGTTGCCTCTTCCCTCCCTGGCCACTCCTCCTCTGTCCCCTCTGCAGACCCTCCCCACTCCCCATCCACACCCTCTTCTGGGGTGATGCTATCCCACCCCCAGCCTCCACAGCCAGGTGTACACTGACACTTCATATGAGCGAATCCCGTCTCCAGCGCAACTGCTTCCAGGACTGTAGACCCTTCTGCCCACCAAACATGGGGCAAACCAAAGGACCATCAATAGGTGGCCCAAATATAACGTCCTGAAAACCAACTCCTGGCTATCATCCCACATGATCCTCTTTCAGCACCCGCTATTCCAGAAAATGTAGCCACCTGGATGTAAACGGTGACCCTCCCTTCCATCCCACACCACCATGTCCTATTGGCTCTAATTCAAAAATACAAGGAGAATCCAAATGCTCCTCTCTCTTTTGACATTCACTGCTGTATTCCCAGCCACAAACCTGGCCCTGGATGACACCAACAGTTCCCAACCCGGCTCCCAGTTTCCACTTTTGCCTCTTTCAATTTTATCCTCCTAGAGCAACTAGAGTGACCTTACAAAGTATGGAATAATATCTGGCAGGATAAGTACCCCATGGAGTTTTCTTTTTTTTTTTGGTATCGGGGATTGAACTCGGGACCTTTCGTTTGTGAGGCAGGCAGCGGAACCACTGAGCTAAATCCCCGGCCCTCCATGGAGTTTTTGAATCTCAAAAGTTTCTTGGTTATTTTTATTTATTCCTTTTTCAGATGAAACTTAGAAGTACATTCTTTGTAAAACAATCCAATGGTAAACGAATCCAACCTAGAGATCCATTCATTGAAATAATACCTCCTGTCTGTAGTCAGTATTCTGGATTTGGAATTAATAAAGTTAACAATACTCTGTGTAAACTCAATAAATAAAAACCTAGCTTTAGAAGCAGAAGCATGGGGGACTATATTTCTTTTTATCAAAAGATCAATCCCATTATAGGTGATCCAACCTCTTAGCTTCAGCATGCACCTTCCATTTCCACAAGGGTGGGGCGTGGCCGAGTCGGGGGGCGTGGCCGAGTCGGGGGGCGTGGCCGAGCCGGGGGCGGTGCTGAGCCGGGCGGGGAGCATCTCTTACCTCCCTGAGGCAAGTGTAGATGGGGCACACCAGTACGCGGAAGGGCTCTCCGGTGCTGCTACGCATGGTGCCAAACACCTCACACAGGAAGGTGATGAAGCCCAGCCAGCGTTCCACGTCCTGCTGCTGCAGCTCCTCGCGCACCGTGAAGTCCTTCTGGGGAGGCACAAGAGACTGTTGTCAGCCTCGCCGGGGCTGGAGAAGAAGGGGTTGGGTAAGACTTGCTGTGCCCCAGAGCCTGGGACAGCAGGCAAACCCCGCGTCTTAAATGAGGCCAGGGTGGGGGATCCAGTGGTTTCACTGAGCGAAGCAGGAACACCCTGTCCCACGGCCATGGCATCTCTTCTTCAGGTGTCCCTGAGCCAGGCGCCCAGGGCAATTGCTCTCTGGGCAATGCCTAGACCTGCTGCGAGTCACTGTCCCCTACACGGAGGCGCTCCAGCTTTGCCTTGCTGGCCCCAGTACTGAGGAGGTGTGACACCCTATCCAGACTGGTCACCTCCCCATTCAACTCTGCCTGGCTGAACTCTCTCTCTGGGCTAACCCCTAAATCAGCCCTCTCCACAGGACAGGCTGAGGGGAACACTGCATGGGTCAGCAGTCAGCCACAGAGGCCCATCGTAGCCCCAGTGTGAGCTAGAAACTCCAAGTAGGGCCCCTGCCTGCAAGGGGCCTAGAGGATAGTAGGAGAAACTGACGTGTTCAGCCACTCATTCATTCATTCCTTCTTCCTGCTTAAGAATATGTTTGCGTGTTCCAGACACTACACTAGGGGCTGGGATAGGACGCGTTCATTCTTGACTGTAGTACAAAAGAAATGGTATTAAAACTATCAGAGGGCTCTGGTAAAGGGTCTTTGGTAGAAGTAGGAGTTAGTATTCTCTACTGGATTCTGACATGGGGACAAGTATCTAGAGACCTCAAACTCATAGAAGAGAAAATGTTGATTGCTAGGAGCTGAGGAGGGGTGGGTACCAGAAGTCATTTAATGGGCAGAGTTTTGGTCTGGTAAGATGAAAAAGTTTTGAAGACTGGTAGTATAGTTAACATCGCTGAAGCATACACTTAGAAATGGTCAAAATGGTAAATTTTAGGCTTTAAAAAAAATTCCCCCCCATACAACTTTCTTGAATGTATGTTTCTGCCAATGAAATTTACGACTCAACTCTAAGGAAATCATGGTATAGAAGGATGGGAAAGGAAAATTGAAACTGAAACCAGATAGGCTTATGAAATTAAAATAAGTAATTATAATTTTGGTTATAGGAGTGAGTGGAAAGCTAGAAGTAATCCTTGGAAAGGAAGATATTTAATTTAAAACTGTATTTAATTTATTTAAAAATTTTTTTGAGACAGAGTCTCACTATTGTTGGCCAGGCTGGTCTCAAACTCCTGGGCTCAAGCCATTCTCCTGCTGACCCTCCTGAGTGCTGGGAGTGGAGGTGCTCATCTCCATACCTGGCTGATATTGATTTTTAAATGTAACTTAAAAGATATTTCATAGTAGTAGTTATTTAATAACCCAATATTAAGTTATGACTGTTAGATACTTGTGGGAAGGGGACAAAAAATTACACAGCACACAGTTTCCTAATTTAGACCATAAAGGCTCACAGATTACTGCTTCCCTCAGTTTGATAATCAGAGAAATATGTTAAAGTATGCCCTTAAAAATGTTAAAATTAAACACTAGCAACCACTAGCAGAACAGAAAACAGAATATGTAAAATAAATGAATGGGTAAAAATAACCATGGGCAAATGAAAATAAAATTAAAGCAGTAGTAAAGTCAAAGTATCTTTTATGATAACAATAATTTAAAAATTATAGGATTCATATAGATAAAATATTGTTCATAATAAATAGATAATATAAAATATTATATACTGAATAGCACAGACTGAAAAGATATAAAAAGTTATTGAGACATAAGAAAAAATAGTTAAGAAAAAATTATATTCTGATAGGAACCACTATAACATTCTATTATTGGTTGAAAGGACAAAAATTAATTAGATGACTTAATACAATAATTCTAAATTAAAACAGCTTCATGGTAAGCTGTGATTCCACTATAATTTTCAAAACTTAGAAATTGTGGGAGCTAGCCGGGCATGGTGGCAGACTCTTGTAATCCTAGCACTTGGGAGGCTGAGGTAGAAGAATCTTGAGTTTGAGGCCAGCCTGGGCTACATGGTCAGTTTAAATCCAGTTTGGATTACATAGTCAAAAAAACAAAACAAAACACCAAAAACTCAAAACAAAACAAAAAGAAATTGCACAAATTACATACTGGGGCCAAAAGTTGACAATTAAAAATAACCAATTACTTAGCTATTTAAAAGTTATTCTCTTAAAGAAAGATTACCAGTAATTAAATACACAACAGGTTATTTAGGAAATAAACAGCTGCAAAAACTTGTGGGATGTGGTCAAAGCTATAATGAAAGGTCAATTTATAGTTAATTATTTTGTCTATTAAATAAAGGAAGAAAGTATGTAACATATACTATGTTGCCTGATATGATAGCTACTAGATATATATGACTCGTAAGTGTGTGACATGTTCACAACAGGGCTATAATTTGTATATCTTGCTGCCTGGAGCTCTGAACCATAGTGGTACATGCATGAGTGTTCCACTGGCTGGCACAGGCCAGTCACGCATGCAGCACTGGTGGTTCAAGCCCACAGGAACATGTTAAAACATGGCAATCAAAACTTCCATGTGCTATAAATGTAAGAGATAATGGTTTTCAAAGAGAGTATGAAAACAGGGCTGGGGATTTAGCTCAGTGGTTTCACTGCCTCCTGCGCAAGTGCAAGGACCTGAGTTCGATCCCCAGTACCAAAAAAAAAAAAAAAAAGGAGAGTATGAAAACAGTAGTGTAAATATCTCATATTTTAGAGGTAGGGTTGTTTTTTTTTGGTACCAGGGATCAAACTTGGGTCCTTGCACTTGAGCAGCAGGTGGCGAAACCACTGAGCTAAATCCCCAGCCCTTGTCTCATATTTTAAAAAGGTTGAGTACATATTAAAATTGTGAATGCAATGAGTTAAGTAAAATATATTAAATTTAAAATTACATATGTGGACCACATTATATTTCTATCAGACAGTATTACTTCAAACATTCAACTCAAATTTAGAAACTCGCTAGCAACTAAAGAAACATAGGAAAGGACATAACACAAATAAAGTTAGAAATTAATTAGAACACAAAGAAAGGAAGTTACATATAGAGTTAAGAAAGAAGTAATGAGGACTGGGGATTTAGCTCAGTGGTTCCACCACCTGCTCTGCAAGCGCAGGGACCCGAGTTTGATCCCTGGTACCAAAAAAAAAAAAAAAAAAAGAAAGAAGCAATGAAATTAAATTAAATGTGAAGCAAATATGGAGGAGATAAAGTAATAAAAATATGATAGTAATTATAACTGTTGATTTGAAAAATACTGATGAAATGGGCAATTTTACAGAAAATAATATCACCAAGCTTTACTTAAAAAACAGATTAAGCCAGAATAGACCAAAACAAAACAACATAAAACAAAACCATAAAATAAGAAGTTACGAGGGTTACACTTTTATAAGGAGTTATCTAAACTTATGACTTTTATAGGTAAATTCATTCATACTTTCAAAAATTAAGTCACTGCTTTCCTTTGGAAACTGCCCAGAACACAGGAAAATAAAATCTTTCCAGCCAGTTCCCTATCACTCAAATCTCATAATGATAGTAAATTCCACAGAAGGAAGTCTATAGGCTAATTTCTCTAATGTGAAAAGATGTGAAAATCTTAAATGAAATATTAGCAAATAGATCCATTATAACCAAGTAGATTTTATCCCAGGGAGGCAAGGATGATTTAGTATCAGGAGATCTATGAATGTAATATATTACATCAATACTCCAGATTAAAAAACAGCAGCAATACCCATGACCCGTGAAAGGGAGGAGAAAAAATTATTAGATTATATGTATGACAAACCCCAGAGAACCCTCTAATAAAGATTAGAGTTAATAAGAATTTAGTAACAACTAATAAGAATATATATTCAAAATTAGTATACAAAAATCACCAACTTTCTTTTATGACAAGATTTACCAGTGAGATAATTTAGTATACAAAAGCCCATTTGTAAGTAATAAAGTAAAATGGCATTATTAAAAGCTGTGCAAGGTTTCCATGAAGAAAACTGCAAAACTAAGCTGAAGGATTTAAGAAAATGTTGCAAACAACTGAAGAAATATATAATATTCCTAATGGTGAGGCAGCATGGTAAAGATGGTAATTCTCCCTGCATTGTTTTAATGCACATTTGTACTCCAGACTTGAAAAACAGAAGATCCTATATGTAATTTAAAGAATAACAGGGGAAGTAGCTAAAATCAAAACAAAACACAACTGAAGAGAGTTACCCTACTTTTAACCTATTCTAAAGCTTTAATAATTAATTAAAAGGCCATAGGACTGACAGCATGGGCACCTAGATCAGATAGCCAGAAATAAATTTGGCATCCATAAGGGTTTATCCCATGATCCCAGAAGGACCACAAATCAGTAGCAAAGAAAGCATTATTCACTCAAGCAACATTGCAGGGACAGCTGTCTAATATCTGAAGGAAAATAATTTACAGTTTCACTTCATACTAGGACCTAAAATGAATTCCAGATGGAATAAAGAGGTACATTTTCTTTCCAGAAAGACAAACCAAAAAAACTTGAAAAAGATGAAATTGAGTATTTATCAGATTCCTGGATGGAAAAGAGCTTTCTACATTAAAATGAAAGGAATCCATCAAAATATTAAAAACACACTTCAGAGGCAATCGATAAGCTGGGGAAAGATTTGCAATAAATGTGACAAAGGGTAATGCTCTTAATATACAAATAGTGTGTTCAAATTTGTAATAAAAGTACTAAATCCTTCACGGATAAATAGGGAAAGGGCATTAAAAGATGAACTTACATAAAAATCTCAATATGTGGAAGCAAATTAAATAACAGTGGCAATTAAATGAATGGAAATATCTTTTTCCATCTATTACATCAGTAAAACTTAGAAAAATAGTAATTGTCAATGCTGGTGAGGATGCAGTGAGATGGGTATTCTCATATATGGGCAGTGTGCATTGTATTGCTTTTCTGAAAAAT